TAGTGCGTAACTGTTTATGCGACACCGCTTGTATTACGAGGAATCGCGTCATTTGCCCTAACGGAAGAATGGGAGGCTCTGCTAAGTTTGGCATTGTCTATGAGATTAAATGTCTGGCATGCCACGCTACTTACATAGGGGAACTGGTCGGCAACTTAGAGAGCTAAAGAATACTTGAAGAGTAAGAGACGGGGAAGCATGGCTATCACCTCTACTCAAGCTGTCCCTATCGGTCAGCTATAGCCTTTTACCACCAGTGGAGTTTGAACGTCGTCGTTGCGCCGTCGGTGGAGATTCTGGTATGCTAACATTTGATTCAATTGGCTTGGCACCATTAAGGCGGAGTTTTGTGATCTAATTGAGGCCGCTCGCGCCCGCGACGCACCTGCGTCTTACTCGCGCGAGTGCTCTCTGATCATGACCTCGCCTTAATTAGGTCACGATGTCCCGCCTTTTCCGATGCCAAGCCAGTTTAATCAAATGGTACTTGTCGTAAATGCCTCCGCTTGTTTGCTCCTACGGTTCGAACTATGCTAGTCAAGAGGAGAGATTTGATCATAAAAGGCAAAAAAATAACAGTGTGGGACTTTCAAGTCTCTGAGAAAGGCATTATTGCCAAAACGTTAGACCTAATAAAAATATCTTGACAAACCGCGCATAATTATTGCACTCAACGCATCGATTACCCACTCTGAGCGGTTTTTTTTTTCAAACGAGTCCCTGCGAAGTGACTTTTTATCGTTCCTACACCATCGACACAAAATGCCACCAACAGCAAATGAATATAAATGTTATTAGCCTATTGAATAATTCATCCAAACAAAAGTCTGTTTTGTGTAAACTACGTATACCTACCATATACCGTAGATAGTGACATATCTGTATAGATATGTCACAATCTATGTGGAAGATGCGCCTCGCCAAGCTGAGTTAAATGGTACTCTTACAGGAAATGGATACTTGGTCGAAGTGGCGTTTCCATGTGAAGTATGTAGCTTTTATAGAGCATAAAACGCTGAGTTCAAATCTGCTTTCGATATTTGCAAAGCGCTTCTGGGAGGAGAGTTATGGAATTTTCTTGAAGCAAAAACTTGAAAGCGCCGCTACAATAAAGTCATACAGAACCCTGGTCCGTGAACTCAAATGGGATCATGATTACTACAAAGACGTTTCATGGAATAAAGAACTTCAATCTAATAAACTCATTTTAGTCATTACTCTCTTTAGCGCTGAAAAAGTCAACACCTATTTTTACCTTGGACAATCATTAAATTTTTCAAAAAAAAAATTCAGAACTCGCCTCCCAGAAGACACCGAAAGCAGATTTGGAGCGTCCCATGCTCTATAAAACAGTATACATCTCATATAGGAACGCCACTTTGACCAAGTCTCGTTCCCTGGTCTGATATAAAATTCATAAACTTTGAATGAAGATAAGGGTATTTTGAGGATTTATAAAAAAGTTAGGCAGCGGCCGCCGTTAACTTTTTTCACAAATTACGAGCGGTATTGTACTTCAAAACCAATCCGACGATCTTATCGAGGTTTACAGTGATTATACGCTGCGCGTTTCAGGCGTCCGCGAAACTCAAAATCAACTCTAAGTTTGGTTAGAAAAAAAGAAATAGTGTGCAGGTGAAGAGGCGCAGCTAAAAAGTCCTTCGGGGTAGATTTTGCTGCGAGTTTCATCGAGCATAATGGTGGTATCATGGTGCACCGCTGAACATAAAATTTAAATATAAAATTCTGGCCCCGGTATTGGACGTGCTGATCACGAAAACGGTGCTCATTTTTTAACATTCGCCCACACAGCGAGATTACGGTAGGGATACGGTAGTTGGGCGAAAATCACGAAATTGACTGAAGCTTGGCACAGTGGGGTTATATGGCACGCTGATCACTAATATGATACCAATTATTCGCTATGGGGCCACAAATCGGGATTACGGTAGGCTTACTGTAGGCGGTAATTTTTCATGGAATTGACTGAAACTTGGTGTGGTGGGGTTATATTCGGTGCGCTGCTTGAGAATATAATATACGTTTTTTAACATGGGGAGATAGAGCTAGATTACGGTAGGAATATGGTAATTAATTCAAAGTCACATAAAAATACAAAACTGCTCAGACAATCAAATGCTCTCAGCCGGCAGCCACAAAGCCACCGCCTAGACCCACCAAAAGCGCGGTGGCCTCATCGCCTCACTGTCGCTTCCCGCTGAGAGCTCTGTCGGAGTTCTGTCGGAGCTTGTCGGAGCGGGCTCAGCGGGCAGCGAGCCCGCTCCGAAAGCTCCGACAAAGCTCCGACAAAGCTCTCAGCGGAAAGCGACAGTGGCTGCGATAAGCAACGACGCTTTTGGTGGGGCCCGCTGAGAGCCTGTGATTGTCTGAGTGGCTCATTGGCATTATTGGTATGCTGATCACGACTAGCCATGATGGCTCAGCTACGGTAGAGGTACTGTAGATTAACCAAAATCACAGAAATTGGTGAAACTTGACTTGGTGGGAGATCCGAATGTTAATCACGAATATTATGGCCACATAGAAATATCTTATATATAAAGCTGAATGTCTGTTTGTCTGTATGTCTGTCTGTCTGTCTGTATGTCTGTCTGTATGTCTGTACGTATGTTCCGAATAGAAAATTCCATTTCTGAACCGATCCGGACCAAACTTGGCACACATACACTTCGGGCCCCGGCGGGTGTCATAGGCTACTTTTCGTCATCGATCGATATCGATTTTATCGATTTTTATCGATTTTTTTGCTGAGTTTACCTACGGGGCTGGGAGTTGGCACAGGGGGTAATCGAGCATGGGGATTCCGAATACAATATTGGTTTTCAGGATTATCGATTACTTTTATCGATTTTATCGGTTTTTTTTTGCAAAGTTTGAGCTACGGGGCTGGGAGTTCGCACAGGGGGATAATCGAGCATGGGGATTCCGAATACAATATTGGTTTTCGGGATTATCGATTACTTTTATCGATTTTATCGATTTTTTTGCAAAGTTTGAGCTAGGGGGCTGGGAGTTGGCACAGGGGGGTAATCGAGCATGCTGATCATCCCCAAGGGGGGGTGATCAGCATGCTCGATTACACCCCTGTGCCAAATTCCAGCCCCCTAGCTCAAATTTTCAAAAAATCGATAAGATCGATAAGAGTAATGGACGATCTTGAAAACTAATATTGTATTCGTAATCTGCATGCTCGATTATCCCCCTGTGCAAACTCCCAGCCCCGCAGGTCAAACTTTACAAAAAAAAATCGATAAATTCGATAAAAGTAATAGACGGTCCTGAAAACTAATATTGTGTTCGTAATCAGCATTCTCGATTACCCCCCTGCGCAAAATCCCAGCCTCGCATGTCAAAATTTACAAAAAATCGATAAAATCAATAAAAGTAATCGATAATTCCGAAAACTAATATTGTATTCGGAATCCCCATGCTCACTTCCCCCCTGTGCCAACTCCTAGCCCTGTAGGTGAACTCTGCAAAAAAATCGATAAAAATCGGTAAAATCGACATCGATCGATAACGAAAAGTGGACTGTGACACCCGCCGGGGCCCGAAGTGTATGTGTGCCAAGTTTGGTCCGGATACGGCGGAGCCGGGTAAGCCAGCTAGTCTCCTATAAAGAGGAGATATACGGTTTGCTTAAAACTTTGTTTAGGGATCGATTGGCGTGCTAAGCACGAATAAACTATTTCTTTTTTGCAGCAGGAGCATGCGATGGGATGGCAGTAAAAATGTATTATATTAGACTAAACTGGAAGTGCTAAAATTAAGCCATTGAGTTCATCTGCTGTATAATCATGAATAAGCTGTACGTTTTTGGAGTATTATCAAGTCACGCGTTTACGGATTTTTATTCTTATTTCCAAAATCGCTCACTGTCAACACGAATGACCTCAAAAGAATTATCTGAAGATTGTTAAATTACCTGAAAATCACAAAAAATTCGAAAATCATTAAATTTTTAACTGGTCTCCACATTTTTAATATTACTCGTATGTCAACTTTTCTAAAAATCTGGCCAAATATTTGAGAATAACATATTTCGGGTGTAGGATTATTGAAAATTTGAGATTTAGATATCAGTAAAAAATGAGGTCTATAAAGTTTGAGACCGTATCAAAATAGGCGGAGAAGAGGGGGACAGGTTGTTGATTTCTATGTCCAAGCATCCTGCTAAACTTCCAAGGATCTGTGGAAAACAGCATTTAGGCACCTTAGAGAGAAGCCTAATGCCCTTCGACGTGTATTAACATGCGGGATATCGACTATGATTCATTAATCATAGCCGGAAATTTTCGAAAGTGGCTATGTGGCTTAGTGGTTTAGTAGTTGGCCTCGTGAGCCGAGTAACCGAAGTCCGTGTCCCGACTAAGTCGTGGTTTTTTGCGATGAAGCGTGTGATGGCTTCTCGACAACTATAGCAGCTCCGCAAGTAGCAGTGAGAAAATCCGAGTTTTAGAAACGAAATTCAGAGTTAACAGTTAACGCGCTTTAAACTCGGAGTTTCGACCAGATTACTACCGGACCAGCTGTTTATGCTTTCCCCTAAGTTTGCATCAGAATCTTATGCGCTCGCAGTTTTCACTAAGTTTAGCTAGGAAGTAAAAAATGGACGACTAGTAAATTGACTTTTAAGTGCTCATATTTCCAACGACTCTTTTCCTTTATCGCACTGTGCCAAGCAGAATATATCATTTTCTTTGCATTTTTTAAGGGACAGATTCGCCATAGTTTGTAGCTTGTGCTTTCTCTATATGAACGCTATATCACTTGATAATGTTAATGTAGCTTCACCGCACCAGTCTTCTACGCATCTAGTGATAGGATTTATCAAAGCAATTTTTTTAGCGCTTGAATTAGGAAGGAGAAACAAGGCTAACATGCAGATCGGACTCTAGCCATATTATGCAGATTTGTGCTAAATTCGAAAACTTTTGCATTGGACATACCATCAACTCAACGAAAACTTCGACTTTTAGAAACCTTGCGGTCTCTGTTCTTGATCTGTACTGCAGACTTGGATCAGGATGTTCCTCGTTGTCTCGCTCACTTTTCGAACGCGAGGTTCTTCGCCGTTGTGATACCACTGCGAAAGCAAGTGAATGTGTTGGGTGAGTATGTTTTGAAAGGTATAGAAGTAAGAAAAGATAAGATTGTGTTTTCATAAACTAATGTTTGAGTGCCGTTCTACTATAAAATCTCTGTAGAATGATTCTTCAAACAAAGCAAATGGAGAACTACCATGCTCAATTTAATTTAGGCGAAATCTCTCTGGCAACTGAATTTTGATTTTGCCTTTTGGAGCGAAATTGCACTTTATCATATATCTTTCTTCATGAGGAACAAACATGATATATCATCTTTTACAATGGTTTGGCTTACGCAAGAGCTCTGGCACAATTTAAAATTTCCTTGACATAACTCTATCATTTTGTACTCTAAATATAACAAAAGTTTACGATTCACAGGGTTATTCAATTATTGATCAGTCAGTCTCACAATGGAATAATTGGCGACTTACATCTATAATGAGACTCATATCCCTAGATGCTTCTCAAAACGCTTATTACAAATCTGCTTTCGCCATCTGCTGCGCGACTGTCTAAACTAAGCTATTAGCGTTTTTCCATGAGAATTTGCACTGATTTAAACAAGCAAAACTGTATTATGAAATCTATGAAGTCGCCCATACTTCTCGTCTCCTCAACACTCAAAGATTGCGCATAATTTTGAGCTAGGATGACCTCTCAGTTGCGTTTTACGAAAAAAAACGGGTATCAATAATAATGACCATCCTTTGATGTGCAAAAATAGTATGGAAAAAAAGCTTATAACTTACTTTAGACAGTCGCTTAGCGGTAGCAAAAACAGGTTTCCAATCAACGTTCTTAGACACAATTTTTGATAAAGTCGACTGCACGAAATCGCCCATATCGCTGTAGGCTGAACGCCCGTAAGCGTGCCCGCAACGCGGCTGCCGAGTACGGGAGCTATGATACTTATGCGCGTAATTTCCAATGTTAGCCCACAAAAGATATGCTCGCGGGTGTTCAGCTTCAGCGATTCCATGCTGTCCATACGTGTTTCATGACAAATGCCACGATCATCTATCTTTTTCTGTTAGAGAAGAAGGCTTAAGACAGAACTTCAGTTTGCAATTTTCAGTTTGGTTCCAGAAATATTAAAATGCCTCTGGTTTAGCTCCCAAAAATCTAAAAGAATTCTTCACATATACGCTGTCATATTCAGCATCGGTCAAGCGCTGATATTCCTTGCGAGGGTGCGCTGTCGCATGCGACGTGCAGACGTCAGGGTGCGACTGAGTCATGATTATAATGCGTACACTGCTATTCTTAGGATAAAAAAATTGTGATTTCATAACATTTTAAAAGTTACTAATTTTGCTCTACGTAACAACTTAGGTGATCTAATATAAACTGACTGCTCTTACCACTGCTGAAAGCTGTTCGATGAGATAATGCTAATAATGAGTGTTTTGAGAATTCTCATTTTGATGTGTCTGTGTATTTATGCTGTCAAATATAGTATCCATAAGCAGTAAATCTTTCGCAACACAGCTCACTGTTTGTAATGAAGCCTTTGAAAAGTTCAGAAAAATGACTATAAAACAAGAACATTCTGGGCCTGTTCTTTGAAAGTCAAACCCATATCTTTATCAAAATCTGTTAGTATAGATGGCAATAGCTTACGTGCCCAACGCCTCCTTTATTTTGCACCATCAGATTAGGAAAAAAAGATGTATCTACCTTTAATGTTCGCCTCTAGCTTCGTACTACCGTAACTTCAATGCTACATTACTTATATAGTTTGTATTTTTTGGTGCCGAATACCTCTCTTTTAAGATTTTTCGCTATTTTCTTGTCATTTCCTTTATATTAGGTTGTCCGGAAATTAATGTCCGTTTTGAATTTCAACCGCAATAAGTCATACAGTCTTCCTGAATAGCTTTCAAGGGACCATTTATAGAGCAAAGCAAGCTCTACAAGATAGCGTTCTTGCTTTTGCAACAGCTCTCATCCATTTCGAGTTTCGAGCCAAAAACTAAAAAGACTCAGCAGCTCGAAAAATCGAAGAAAATCGTAACTCAGTTCATAAAAGTGCTACAAAAATTCTTACTTGCTCACATAAACACTATTCACATAAGACATCTATATACGCCTTTGCCGTAATTTTTCCACTGTTAGAAATCACGAAAACGGAAATTTTTGCGCATTTGCCAAAGTGATGCTGTGCCGTCCCCACATAGGTAGTTGTATACCACAAGCCTGTAGAAGTACAGACTTAAATTTTCAGCTCTCTACAAGCGCTTTAGTTCTCGAGAAATTTGAATTTTCGCTAGGACCACCTAACTAGGGAAAGCTATTCGGTATTCCTCGAGAACTAAAGCTTGTAGAGAGCTGAAAATTTGAATCTGCACTTCTACAGGCTTGTGATATACAGTTACCTATGTGGGGACGATACAGCATCACTTTTGCAAAAGTATGAAAATTTTCGTTTTTTCGATTTCTAATAGAGGAAAGAATCCGGCAGTAGCGTACATTTATGTCTTATGGGGATAGTGTTTACGTGAGCAAGCTAGAATTTTTTTAGAATTCTTACGAACTAAATTATGATTTTTCTTGATTTTTCGTGCAGTTGAATCTTTTTAGTTTTTGGCTGGAAACTCGAGGTAGATCAGAGCTATTATTAAAGCAAGAAAGCCATCTTGTACGGCATGCTTTGCTCTATCAAATGGTACCTTGAAAGCTATTCAGGAATGAAAAGAGTATGACTTGTTGCGATTGAAATTCAAAACGGACTTTAATTTCCAGACAACCTTATTTCTTACTGGCTTTTCGAAAATTTTTACTTTTTTTTCTGGGAGATGGCCAGCTAGCTTCTGCCCCTAGGCTCGCTAGGCTGAGATCTCGTCGTTGAAAGAAAAATTTAGGCGGCCGTGAAAGCATTTCTTTCCCGCTAGATTCATTTAGATGTCGACTCTTTATAGCTAAATGGATTAAAAAGACTGAATCTTGTTCTCTTGCTCAAACGTCTATTTCTTGTTTTGATTCCCTATTTACATCATTTATCCAATCTCAACTTTTTTCCAGTGATTTCGTTGCATGCACAACAAACATCATTTGTCTTCGTACAGGGTGTCATGCGTGGTTGATTTTATCAACCACAGGGGCTTTTTTTGCTGTAATTGATTTTGGATATCAAAAGTCAAATTTTACGCACACCCTCATTTTAAAGATTAGGCTACCACTGCGGTATCACAAGCAAACGTTTGGTGAATGTAGCCGCATATTCTTGCTCCTTATATTAGGTTGTCCCAAAAGTTTTGTCCGTTTTTTTCATCGCTCGCTAAAACTCACAAAACACAAATCGATGGTCGATTTAGGAATCATCTGATTAATTTTGTTTTCTCTCTTAGCTATGTTTGCTCTATGATCTACCCTGTCTTTGCGATGCTATCGCCATGGCTTTTGAGCAGCTCAGCAGTAAAGGCAAACCTCTCCTGAATTCAAAAGACTTTTATCCTAATGTTTTCAAAGAGCTCTTGTAACTGTTATGTAGAGCAAACCTTCGGCTACATTGCAACATTTTTAGATTACATGGCCACGTTTACCAATTTTGTTACAATTCAATTGATAAAAATTGCAGCTCTTTGATTATGTCTACCACGCTAAAGCTTCCAAATAGCTGCTTCTCAAGCAATTCAAACTTGGTTATGTTACACAAATAATGTTCAATAAGAGTTATGTTTCAATTCGCAGAAACTGCAGAAGCGTTCGTACATTTGCTGCATTTGCGTTCTTCATAACTTTGCCAAAAATCGAGACCTTCGAAGAAAAAATTGTTGAAGCTAAAAACAGCAACATCACCTTGTAGTCCGAAAACAGCAACATACTCAAAAACCTTTATGGAACTTTGGTTTGAAATTAATAATTAGCTTAACTTTGAGCAGACAAATTTGACGTGTGGAGAATTTTGGCAATCATCAAAGAAGCATACAGAATTGTGAAAAATGCAAGAGTAAGAAAGAGAAAGAAAAGTTGCACCGAATGCATGTAGAAACTCACTTAGGTCTTCATTGTGCGTGGTTTTATAGTGGCTTAAAAACGGACAAAACTTTTGGGACTACCTAATACTACAAGATCGAGTGGCATTTGTTGCGTGCCAAACATACTTTCAGCTTTTTGAAGTGACCTGAAATGCTAACTTTTCTAATTTACCTATTTGAGACTTTGACCTTATTTATGAAATTGATTATCTTTGTCTGTATGTCTGTTCTTTATGTCTGTATGTATGAAAGATGTTCCAAATAGAAAATTTATTTTCTAAACCGACCCGGAAAAACTTCGCACGCATACACTCTGGGTCGGTGCGGATGTCATAGGCTACTTTTCGTTATCGATCGATGTTTAATACAGATTCTTTGCGATTTGTGCTAGAGGCTAAGAGTCGGCGCAGGGAGAGGGAAGGAAGTGAGTAAGCAAGCTAATTACCAATATTTTTGTCAGGGCTGAATGGAGCTGGGTTTGTCAATTAGTCATTTTATAAGAATGGACTTCTTTCTCAATTCATATTTCAAAAATCTTTGACCGGTCACTTTTGCAGGATTCACAGCAGTTTTAGAGGATTTGCCTACTGCCAAGGAATCAAAGAACTGGGACTTGTTGCATTTCAAAAAGTAAGTGTAAAATAAACTGGAATGGTCAAAAGTCAAAGTGGCTAATCCATACAAGTTCATATCATTCGATGCAGCATAGAATGCTGATTTCAAATCTTTCTTCCATATCTGCAGAGCGCCTTTGTAGGCGAAGTTATGAGCAGCTTTACTGTGAGAAAATCGTATACAAAATTGCGAAATTACTCACATATTTCTTTTTAGCTCACCCATAGGTACGGGTCATATGAAGTGACCTGTTGCATGTTTTGGTTTAACACTGAGCCAAGAATGGCGCGGCCAAGTTTGCATTTCCACGCACAATTTCTTAACAAAACGATGGCCTTTAACGGCTTTTGTTTCGTCCACAGAAGCGCTCTGCGGATAAAGATTCAGGGTTAGCGCTTCATGCATCTTATGGTATGCAGCTTCTATGGATTGGCCACTTCGACTTCTGAATATTTCCTTGTAAGCAGGTTGTTAATCCATTTGACTTCAAATTCAAATATCCGTTTTCCTAACTAGCCCGGACAAAGGTGATTAATCCATTAATCAAACGTCTCAATGCTGTGAGGTTTTACTCTGTCCGAATCTCACTAAAAATGTCAATTTTACAATGCATTCTGATGTCACTGATGTTCTATAGATTGTTTTGATTTGGTGTTTCTCACTATTTTGTACTGTTCTTGGTAGAATGTACATTTTCTTCCCAAAGCTCTCAGTCTGCGTTACTATTTGTAGTTTTAAATGAGATCGTAGTTTTAACATTTCATAAAGTCTAGAAAAGCAAGAAATCATTTTCGACATTTTTGAGCTAGATGGAGGCAGTTTATCGAAGAAGGGTTGTAGCTCTAATAATAAAAGGTGCGCGTCGCTAATCTGCAGAATAAACCACTCATTCGCTAGGAATTGGCATGTGCTCATATTGCTCACTTCTTTCTACTCTTTTCACTCTTGGGAGCTTCGCGAATATCGTGTATAAGGGATAATGTCTAGGCCGTGGACACAAGATTGCACAAAAGTGATTCTTGAGTTTTAGACACCATCTAAGGAACAGCGAGATGGTGCACTCGCGTTACTCCTCTACCGTGTTTGTGTTGGAGGACTCGCCTCGGTCTCCATGTCCATTTTCCGAACCCACTGCCTTTGTGATGTGTCCCGCGAAAGTTTGCAAGCCTATGCAAGAGTCCGCTAAACACGTTGGCGGGGACAAGAGCTTGCACACTGCCTTCAAATGCTTTTCAAATAATCTTCTCTTTAAGGGCCGCGGAGAAGCACCCAGGTTATTAAGTAGACTTGTTCGCTAAATTTCACCAATTAAACAGACACACCTCTTCGATGACATGTTATAACGATGCAATATTTCAGTTCGCGCGACGACTAATGATAATCATTGATAGCTTATAGGATCTGACCGTATGGGGAGCTGAAGTATCAATTTGTCGTCGCCGCTTAGGGCTGCATGCATTAACATCCCCTCCGGGGAGGGGATAACAGCTTCAGAAGAGAGCTTCATACCTTGAAGCTCCAAATATCTCAATTTCACGCTGTCTACATATCCGTAATCCGACATTATTTTCTTGACAACCTAATGATTAGCCCGTTTTCGAGAAGTTCGCGATTTGCTTGGATCATAATTTCATTATCTGCCTAAATTACAAGTAACTGATCCATAACAAACCAAGAGTTTTGGAGAATAGATTATGCTATGTACACTCCTTCTATCTGAAGTGGATTTTCAGCTCGCTCTTAGTAATATAGTCACGGTCCAAAATCGCGCTTAAACGCTGCGGCGCATCGTCGCTCAACCTACTCGCTATAATCGTTTAAATACACAAAGAGACCGTTCTCAATAGAAATTATCTTAGTCCGATCTCCGTGGTCTCGCCCACACGCATGAGTTAAAAACTAAAGATTTCCTTTGCCGTGAGGTGTTTGAAAAGGCAAAACTGAAGGACAATACTTTTTCTGCACCCTATATATTTCATGTTTGAGAAGTTTTACCAAGCGTTTTGTCGCTTGGTAAAACTTCGGTATGTCGCTTACCTACTAACGTGAAATCATTGTGCTTTGGATTATTAACCCAATTTACAGTTATTTCCAACAATACATCAACATTGTGGCATTTCCACTTTTTGATAAATTTGTTTGATTAGGTCAAAACAGAAAAGAACGCCAAGGTTCCATCATCTGGGCTGCGAAAAGCAGCAAGGTACTCTAATTCAGGGATTTGCGCCGTGCGAGCGGCCAATGACGATTACAAAGTCGCTCGTTGGTGTGTGCAACTGTACGCCTCAGGGGCTGATCGTGCGGCGAAGGTGGGCGCCCGCAAGGTTACGATTGTTTGTCTTTATGCGGGGAAGGTCGGCCGTTACACGGTCTTGCAGTTTGAATTAATGGGGTATAACCAATTTTCATTTATCTTCGTACTCGTACATGTTCACACCAACGCGATTGTGGTTCAATGGTTGTTGCGGCGTTGGTCCACTTCCACTGAAGAAACGCACACCCTCAATTGACCATTTTGACAAATCTTAACGGCATTTGTTTGGGCCTATCAATCGAGATTTCAAGGCACGAACTAATTTCAACTGTCAGTGCTAAGGGCAGCCCAACCAGTGGGCCGTATTTCACGCAGGTGCCGTTTGCGCTCGCAAGTGGGAATATCATGAGGAAGATATAAAAGTCACTGTTGACCGCTTGCCGGCATGTGGTTTTGCCGGTCGTTTGGACGGGCGCATTGCTGGCCGCTCGCTTTTGCAAATTTATTGCCGGTTTGTCACAGGTAAAATTTTCTACCGGTTAAGCGTCATTTTCACTATGGGCGCACGCACGAAAACTTAGACTATATCTCCCGTTTGTGCCGAAAGGAGGGCCGCCCGCACGCAGGAATCCTTGACATATTCACATTCTCTCCTAGCTAAGTTTTCATGCAGGAATAGTTTGAAGGCACAAGTCGAATCATTGCTAAAAGCAATCAAGAAGTCCTAATGAACGTTTTAAACGGTTTTGCTTAGGTAAAAGAGCTGAAGTAAGTCAATTCAAGTGTCGTACCTCGCCGAAATTTTTGAAAATACTGTGGCACGCAGCGGGTCAATCCTCTTATTGTTAGAGTCTATGACAAAACATTTTTAACAGATTGACAACTGCTTGACACACATGGTGTGTCAAGCAATGACTACCGCGTGGGACCACTTGACACACCATGTGTGTCAAAACTTAAATTTCGTTAAAATGGCTACTATCCTGGGATAAACTCACTCCACGAGCTTATTTTTGCAGTGGACTTAGGGATGACTTCTACCTTTGCCAGCCTTTCAGATCTACTGTAGGTATACTGTAGATGGCAGTATGCGTAATTATAGTTGAAAATGTGGGCTGGTCCGTAAAAAGGCCTTGGTGCCAAAATACAGACAACTAAAAATTTGCATGGTCGTCAATGTGTTGAAAAAGCACATATGATTACACATAAAGATTCGTAAATGGTCTAGATTAGGAGATGTACAGCAATTTGATTAGATTGATGTGTAACAAAACCGATTAGAAAATAAGCGTAATAATCAAAATTGCTTTTTCTTTACCCTTCCCGCAAATAAAGTTCCTTCTCTAAGTTTCTCTCAACGATTTTTTGTCAGAGTTAATATAACACCCTTGTACAACGAATTACAACGTACAACGAACATTCAGGTTAATAAAGAGGCAAATTATGCATGAAAGACTATGGATCACTACCCAAAGTCAAGCGAAATTATTTTGAAATTACCGTTTTTAGGTGAGCAATTTCCTAATGATTGAAGACGATGCAGACGAAAGAAAACGCCTTCACACAGGCCTTGGTTGCATACAAAACGTAGATGTTTTGGAAAGGTATGCAAACCATGTGCTAGAAGTGACATAATATAATGAAAGCGACTTTTTGTGATGAGTGGTAAACAACATACACTGCCCAATCAGTCGTCACATCCGAAAGTTCTTTCCGTTTCTTCAACCTAGCATAAAAACACGTGGAACGAAGATAGGGAAAAGTTTCAGGCACTTCCCGACGCAGCTTTTCTTCCTCTTTCCAAATGTCATTTCTAATGCCGCTTGCCCGTGTGGTCACTGAGATAATCGCTATAATTTCGAACCCAAGGTTTTTAAATTCCAACTTCGGTAATTTTTCACAATCTTTGTTTTCGACTCTTGGAAAAGCTTTGATAGCAGTCATAAGTAAACAAGTTTTCCAGAAGTTTTCGCTTTTTTGAAATCACAAAATACACAAACGCCTCAAACGTTAATTCTGCGAGATTCGAAACTTTAAAAAGTTGGTTATGATGGTCCACTACTTTTACAAAGTAACTGAACGCTTACCGCTTCGAAAGATAAGGGCCCGTAGTGAGCCTCTATTCAGCTCAACACGGCTGGGGGCGGGCCTACGTTGAACGTGGAACGCCTCAGTCCGGGATCCGGTGAGCTATCCATCCGGATTCGGATCGGATTTTAGACCTAAAGATCTTGTGCGTTCTCAGATATAAACTAGCAGTTTGGTCGAGCGATTAAGTGAGTGGGTTTTAACGCGAAAGTCCACAGTTCAAAGTCCGCTAGTGGCAGATTTTTGCGCCACCGAAGAACAATCTTTGATAGCGGCCGTTATTCGAGAAGAATCGATGGTGACCGCTACCAGGATATCGCCAAGCAAACAAATGGATAAAACAAAACTATTATATTTTGGCGAGAATATCACGAAAAAATAAATTAATAGATCTTGAAGCAAATGAAACACAAGAGATCTTTGTTTGAAGCAGTTTTTGAAAGAGAAACGTGAGCAAGCCCTGAAAAAAAAGAGATCCTGCTTTTTTGCTATTCTCGCCACAATCAGCTGTTCACTAATCCTCTCCCATTTAGGCCGAAATTGTGCAGTTTTGGGGATTTGCACGCAATAGTATGTCAACTGAATTTTCTCGTAAGTTACCAATGAGTAACTTACAAGAAATTTGTCTGGTTCTGTTCTTTTGCACACTACCTCTCTCGCGTCATCCTAAAATTCAACCTTGGATAAGTGGTATTCTGATGAACCGGCTGTGACACTTGACCGGACAGTCTTCTGACTGTTGAACTGGCTATCCTAGACAAGGTGGCAATGTGGGCGGGATTAGGTTTACCCGAGAATGTTCTTCTGAGTAATAATCTCATTTCTTCTGAGATGAGTAGAGGTTTACTACGAGCCATTTCGGATTTCACGTGTATACCCTTGAGCCGGTTCAATCAGAATTATGGAAATTTTATCGCTAGAAACCCCACAAAATGGGTATTAAAAGATACATTAGAAAGAGTAAAAAAAGCTGCATCGAATGACACTCTAGTTGTGCGCCGTTTTATGTTTTACGGCTCTTGGCATCGCCAAAACTGGAATTTAATAGCATCAGAAAAATGATTCATTTTTTAAAGCAAGCTATAAATGCTAAAAATTGCACTGCATTGCACTTTGTTTACTCTAACTAACTGCTATCAAAGTTTTCCAAGAGTTGAAAACGAAGATTCTGACAAGGGAACGATCCCAACTTAAGGTGGCGAATTGGAATGAACCGCATATCACTGGACGCGTCTTGATGAGTGATTGCAAATCTACCTTCCTTATCTGCGACAACGTTATCTGGAAGAAGTTATGAAAGGTTAAAAACGCGAAGAAACGGGGGTTTTATTGCATAATTTGCTTCAAAATCCAACTTAGAAGTGTATGACTAGCATAATATTGAGTGTGCTGATTTCAAGGAATGCTCACACTCTAAAGAAACACAAATAAGTGTTTTTGAACAACTAATTTTCGAGGTATTGCGCTGTATATTTGCCAGATTTGGACTTTTCATTGCTTATAGCTTTTACCAAAGAACTTCAGTTGCTTTTTAACTGTTCAAAAACATTCATTTGCGTTTCTTTTGAATGTAAGCATTCCGTGAAATCAGTACACTCAATATGATGCTAGTCGTGCACTTCCAAGTTGGATTTTAAAGCAAATTATGCATCAAAACCCCCGTTACTTCACATTTTTAACCTTTCATAATTTCTTCCAGATAACGTTGTCGCTGATATGGAAGGTAGATTCGATACCAGCTCATTAAGGAGCATCTAATGATAATCGGCTTATTCCAATTCGCCACCTTAAGTTGGGATCGTTCCCTTGTGAGAAATCGCCAAAGTTGGGTATGGTAAAAGCATGGGTTTGGAATTTCAGCAATTATCTCAGTGACCAGAAAAGCAAGCGGCATGAGAAATGACAGTTAAACAGAGGAAGAAAAGTTGCATTTGCAAAAGCTGATAGTAATTGGATTGCTTCCCCATCGTCGTTCCACGTGTTTTTATGATAGGTTGAAAAAACGGAACGAACTTTCGGAACGACCTAGTATTAGGTTGTAAAAAAAGTTCCGGGGCTCCTGCAGATTTTTTTTCAAATCGCTGTAATTTGGAGCAGATAAATCCTTTTTCAGAGCCACAAATTTCACTGCGAAATTTTGTCTACAACTTATATTTGTCGTGCTGGCTTTTCGGCACCTCATAGCGGTTTAGTAGCTGGCACAGAAGAGAGAGAATTCGGCGCAAAAAGTGGCCTATTTGTGCAGGATTATCTCAGGCAGAATAACAGCTGAAGACCCCAGATGCTTTAGTTATATGGAAGGGCTGTTATGAGGACCATTCATGTCTTCAAAAGGCTACCTGAAATTTTTGTCCAGAAATTTTGAAAAATCGAACTTTTTTTAATATTTTTTGCTTCATAAATGCACCATTTTTCGCGTAAGTTACTTTGAGGTCTTCTCATTCTGCACAAGGCGGGCCAAACCTTTGATTACTGCGAACATTGTTGGGTTAATGTCTTAGACCTAAGGCATGCCCCGCGCAATTTTCAAATCGCTACATCCACGCGACCTGGCAGTCTGCCAGATTTTTACAAATCAACCGTGCACAGGTCTAAAGTGCATAGGCTCTTAGCTTCCGCAAGTTATAGCAAAAGCCTCAAGTCTGACCCATGAAAAGCGCGCCTACGACCAGTTATGAAGAGTCGCTGCGGTGCCAGATCGAGCAGCGACTGGAATCGCGTGAGGTATGCCTTAGGCTTTACACATCTTTTGGACCCACATCACTCAGGCGCGGCGATCCCTGCAGAAGCGACGTCAGCTGCGAAAAGAGTTGCAATCAGAGGAAAGATCGACAGCTTGTAATTTCTGAGCACAAATCGTAAAATTCGAGTGTAACCCCGAGTCAGAAGTTAACAGGCTCCTCACTCAGCACTAGCACTAGGTATCGTCGTGTCCCCGGTGTACGTTAGGCGGAGCTTTTGCGTACATTTGACACCTTGGCAAACTTGTTAACCCTCTACTGCAAAGCACTGTTCTTTGCAATCCTCGCTATCAACTCCACCACGTATGACAACAGCATATATGCGTGGCAGTTTGGAGAGTACAAAGAACCATGCTTTGCAGTAAAGGTCTAACAAGTCACCCACGTGTTCAAATGTCCGCAAATGCTCCGCCCAACGTACACCGGGAGACGACGATACCTAAAGCCTTGTCAAACTTATTTCTATTAGTTTTTTCCGCCAATATTTGTTTGCCATAATTGTGAGGTGCAAATTTGAGGCCTTTCGCAGCGGAAAAATTGCTTTGCCAAACATGTGGGCCAATCAGTTATTTGTAAAGAACTCACATTTTCAGTTTGTCAAATTCTGAGATTTAATAAAAACATGGGATCCAATTACAGGAGACTTCTAGAAATGCTGGACAAGAAAACTACATACAACGACCGAGAGATAGCAGATGTATTCCACAGTGCTGCAAACAATCCACCACCACCCTCAAATGATTCTTTGCTTCGGTTATGCATTTCAAAGTGGAAAGCATTTCATGAAAAGTGGGTAATATGTGTTTTGAATTCTGCTTTTAACTTAATCAGTTTCATGAACTGATTAAGTTAAAGTTTAAACTCATGAAATGCATATACATTTGGGTGATAGAGCCTTCTAGCAAATTAAACAAATTAAATGATCCTGGATTATAATAAAGTAAGCCCTTCAAAAGATGCAAACTTTGGAACATTTTTGGTAAAACAAGAAATCGGAACAGTTCAAAAATCCTAACAGATGCAATTTTTGTTTCTTCAAAAACATCAATTGTTTCTACACGTATGTCGAAACATTTCATGCTTAATTTGCAAATTATTAGAAATTTGACCAAAAATGTAAGTTTAGGTTTGCGAAGAATCACGAAGTTTTATCTGATTTTATCAAAGATTGCATATCGAAAGTGCATTCTCGTGAAGAAATGCTGATGGTTAGTTTGTATGATTTTGAAACATGTTCATAACTCGAGGCACGTCACCCTTCATTTAAAAAAGTTTCTCTCTCTCTCCCACAGCGAACGAAATTCTCCCAGATAGCCACTGCCTCCCAGCGAGGTGTGCCAGTAAATATCCTAATCACGACAAGAGTAATTTTTTTTATCAAATGCGAGCAGCTTGGTCGTAACGCTGTGCCTCGCAAAACGATCGCTCTCCCGCACAATTCTCTTAGGTGGCGCAGCACCATAGGTCTCTTAGAGGCAGCGTTCAAGATCCACCCCACTCAGATTAATGTATAGTTGTCAAGCGGGCCAGGAGTATCTCTAAAAGGAAATAAGAGTGTGTGATAGGTACCACACAGCGCCCCTGATATCACAAACCTCCCATGAGAACGACTGCTCACGCAAGTGCTGCATTCACTCATGCGGTTGCAGCTCCTCTCCGCTGGCAAGCCGGGAAAAATGAACAATCCGATCGTCCGCACGCTCAAAATAGGGTTCCCAAGAATCGGGTTTTTGAGAATTTTGGACAATTTGGACATTATAATTGTAATCAGAGCCACGGAAAGGCCCCAGAATGACACAACATGGGAGGAAAAATTTCGGCTGCACGCTGCCTTTAATCGCAAAATCTTTCAGTAGGGTTGATCGGGTTTATGAAAAGTAGTCCTCCCATACTCATGACATTGGGGAACTTATTAAGTTGATGCAAGAATAATGTCTGTAACGACGCTACCAAGGCACGTAAGATTCGAACAAATAAGGTACCATTCGATAAACGAAACAAGCTCTACAAAGTGGTTACCAAGAGTCTGCCTAAACATTTGGTCTACGTAAAGTTTGATGCCAAAATTCGTGAGCATTTGGCCAGCTCAAAAATTGGATTTTCGTTCAGAAAAGTCCTGCAAATCCCTAATTAATTATCACATATTAGACACATAGTAATGTGCATTTGTGCGATGTGATGATCTCTCACTTAGATATTGAGAAAAAACGAAAATCGAAAAAATGGCAAACTTCGCTTTCCGTCCCTTTTCTCCAATAAGTATTGTGTACGGTGAAGCATTCAAAGCAACTGTGAAATTTCAACCCGGTATCTGCTTTGATTCTTGAGAAGAGTCACTTTTAGCTCTGAGAACCCATAGTCCAAGGCCATTCTTTACCTAATACCTTCATGTAAAGGAAATGGAAGTTATCGGAATTTAACTTTTGCCAGAAACCTGCCCTTTTGTACCTTATCACAACACACTTGCTAAATATCATTACTTCATGAAAAGTACGGAAGGTAACTGTCTTCTGTGCGTTAGTGTTCACAGAATATCCCATAAAACTTGTCAGCTTAATTGCCAATAACTTTTTGCGGAATAGCTTTCTGTTGCCTTTGAGTATGTCGAGAGATATAGCGTCAGCTTAAGTTTGCAGTCGAAAAGAATTAGCGGATCATCCATTTCTCTTTTACTCGGACCGGAACTGATTGAATTTTCAAAAATAAAACTCTTGAACAGGTTAGCACCATGTATGAATGAGCATCAATAATTAACTCACTAGCGAAGAAAGTAATGACCGGTTTTTCTCTAGATAAAATGGCCAGTCGTGCCCCTCATCTGCAAATGACCCATTATAAACAGCAAAAATGCAGTGGCAACTCTTTAGGCTTTGTGCTAATGCAAGGCGGACAGAATAACCTCGAGTGCGATTACCGTACTTCATTGCCACGTTGGTATCGTCGTCTTCCCGGCGTACGTTGGGCGGAGCTTTTGCGGACATTTCAACACGTTGGTGAACTTGTCAAACTACTCTACTTTGAAGCATGGTACTTTGTACTCTCTAACCTGCCACGTTTATATGCTGTTGTCACACATGGCTGGGTTGGTAGCGAAAGATCACAAAAAAACAATGCCTCGTAGTAGAGGGTTAACAAGTTCACCAACGTGTTAAAATGTCCGCAGAAGCTCCGAACAACGTACACCGGGAAGACGATGATACTCTTCCGCACCGCTCGTCCTAGCGTTACAGCCTGCCACGAACAAACAATGCAAGTGCATGTAATCGTGCTTGACAATGCTAATTAAGACTAGTTCTCCTAGCAGAGCGAGTTATCTGAGCTTCCTAATGTGGTCAAAATGCGTGTCTTTCCAACTATCTTGCTGCACTATTCCTAAATTACTAAAAGTTTTTCGTTTTTGAGGCATGCTTCATGCATGTGCATAATGAATCAAGCACAAAAACTTTTGAGTATATATAATTTGCTTTGATTTTGTACAAAGTATGATAGCTCTTGTGTCTTACTTCGAAGTTATGAGAATCTTTCCCACTAAATTTATGGAGGTTATTTTTTTCTATATAGGAGACGACGGGCTTTCCATAACCATTAAAGGCAGTGTCTCACCAAAGGTGAGGTCGCGCGGATTTTGACATATTCTATTATAGGGACCTCTAAATAGGCCATTGCAACAAGTCCCACTCAATTTGACCCCCTCCACGCTGAGAAAAATTCGCTCAAAGTGGTACGCGGAGAGCGAGGTGGTACGCGCGGACGACTCCTTCGGTCTCCCCCCTCACGCGTTTGAACATGTCCCTCCACTTGGCATCCACCTCCCTCTGTTGCTGCCACTGTGGCTGAGGCTGAAGTTGGAAGGCACAACTCGTCCACGTTGCTTCCGCGGGGCCTCCAGAAAACGGGGTTTTTGAGGACTTTGTGCGATTTTAAGCCCATACAGTGCTAGACAGGGTGCGAAAGGATTGCAAAATGCAAAAAACTTGGCAACTAAATTTTGGTGAGACACTGCCTTTAAGCTGATGCAAAAGTGATGGCGTTTTTCGCCATAGCGCAGTGTGAATACAAAGAATTTTTGGTGGCAATCTCGGTTTAAGCAAATCCTGCTTTAAAGATGGCCAATCACATCCGCGTGAATGGTAAACAATGAATTTGAAGCCAGAATCCAAAAACATCGAATGCCTTAAAAACTGGACTTTCCCAGAAAAATCCTACAAACATCCTCCTTGTTCAACATGTGATACACACACGCAAATATTCATACGCTTTCGCTGTTTCTCCACAGCTGTTAAATGAAAAATAATGGCCGAAAATAATCGAACAAATGCGTGGGTCAATTCTACATATATAGTTGTATTCTACAAACCTTCAGAATGAAAACTGTAGGGCCGGGCATACATCACGCGATTTCATCGCCGCGTTTCCTAGTCTCGCCATTTGCTGCAAGTAGCGACGAAATCGCGGCGACTAAACCGCTAGTTGATTGTACATGGGCATACCTCTGCGCGTGATTCTTTCATTTGTATTTTCATTTTGTAGTCCAGTATCAATTCCGACCTTAGGATCACATTAAAATTCGACTCCATCCCAGTATCTGGGATAGAGTCGAATTTTTTTTTCACTGTTTCGACGTCGCTGATTTTGCTCAAACTCGGTTCAAGGGGGTTTTCGACCCTTTCGACCCTATAATGCCAAATAACGTTATTATAATTCTGCTTCATAAGGGACGAAACCTAAGATTTGGCTGGAATTCCGTCGAAAAGTTATCAACGTGCTGATCACTAAAATCATGCTCACATCATTTTAGACTTACATGCGGAGTTGCGGTGAGTATATGAAAGCTGTCAAAGTCGTAGACATGCCTGTATGTTTGCGCAGTGAAGTTATTTGATGTTCTGATTACGAATACTGTGTTCAGTCGCTTCAGAAAGTCTTTACCAGATTTTTTTGAGTGACTCAAAAAAAATTGGTAATTATTGGGGGAGGAGATTCCTTTTCATTAATATTGTGATTGACACAGATTGCAAGAAAATGGCGCTTTCCAGAGTGATCATCATAATAATCATGTTCAGCGCGCTAAGGAATCTCCTCCCCCAGCAACAAATTTACAGCGAATCCGCAACTTTGACCCTCTACCGTACGCCTACGGTAGCCTCAGAAAATGGCGCTACCGCACAAAATAATCATGATATTCGGCACCAGTGGGTCGAATGACCTCGTAGAGTCTGAGCGAAATTTACGACTTTGAAAATGGGTCACGGATAGCGCCAATGTGTAAAGAGGATCGATTTACGGAGAAGCAACGCACTAATAGAAGTATTTTTAGAATAATAGACAAGAAAACAGCTCAAAAAGCTGAAAAAGAAAGAAACGATTATAAAAAACTTTTAGAAAAGAAGTCCAATTTCAGCGATTAGGTCGCGTCGCTCACTTGAAGTCAGCGACGCGCTATTGCTGAGATTCGAGCAAATCGCTCACTGAGGGAAGTATGCCCGGGAAAAAATGGTCAGCGATTATTCGCGCCGAATAACTATTGCAACCGAATGGCACAATGCTCAGCACGCAAGAGACTTGTAACAGTTGTCTTGTTGGGAGAATTGCGAGGCGATTAAATCGCGTGATGTATGCCCGGCCTTTAGAGGAACCTTATCCTTGCATGTAAAATAATCGCCGAAAATCGCATATTTAGCCTCTTTGCATTTATGTTTTTACCACGTGGCTACTATTGATCGGAATATTTGCAAGGCTTACGATTTCTGAGAAAATCTAGTTTTCTGTGGAACCTGCTTTTTCTTATCGGATACTTACTTTGAGCACATTCAATTTTAATAATGTGATTGCCGCATAAAGAAGCTCATTACTTTGCACCAAACTAATAGTTTTCTGCCTTTTTTTAACAAGTTACTCTTTAAAAATGGCAATTTTGCTTATGCTTCACATACTCAGAGTCTTCTTTAAAATTTTTCGTGTACTAGTGCTTATTTATTGGAGCTACTCGAAGCGTTACTGCTCTAAATATCCTCCGATTGCAGGAAATGATCTGCATTATTCAACAACACATAGGATAGAAAAAACTAAAACCTGGGTTGCTGAGAAATTTCCTAATTTTTTTCAATTGAGCTTCCTTATTTTTTGAGTAGAAATCATATGATTGAATTTGGCAAATTAAAAGGGGGAGAAAGCAGCGTTGCAGCGTTTCATCTGGTTTCTAATGGTTTCAAATTCATTATATAATATTCAACGAACTCTCGAAGAATTACCAAAATCTGTGACCCATGTTTTTTACCATGGTCAAGTTTATCTATCATTTCAAATTTTTGTACTAATTTCCCGAAGAAACACAAATAACGGGTAGACAAAGCAAACCCTATAGGGCACAAATCAATATTTTCTTTCTCTTAGCTTGCTTCTTAGAATTCTCAAAATTGATTTTTGAAGGTTGCCAAATTCGATATTTGATAAACGCAAACCTCACAGAACAAAAACCGGCAAGCAACGCAATTGATTGTCAATTGAAGCACCTTTTTCTCCTCTCTCTCTCTCTACCAATTGCTTTTTGTTACCGATTTATAGAGTTTTCCGGGATAAAATCATTATAAATCATGCTTTGCCAAGCATCCCAGGATGTACCCGGAATTTCCGAAAGTTGCTAATCTGAGGTGGTAAATCCTCAGTTGTTTTGTAAAGTTAGTGTGAAACATAACCCACCTTTGTAAGTTTCAAAATTCGGAGATGCATTGGTGTTTGATGCATTTGTGTCTGAGACAAGCCCGCTAAAATTCGGTCGTTCCAATAAAAAACCTATACAAAAATAATGACAAGTTCTGAAAGTAGAAAAAAATTGTGCTGTTTCTTGTAAGGTTCGCTTTATCGATCCATCACTTGGATTCCTTCAGAGGGTTGTTATAAAAATTGAAAAAAAATGTGAGATTTGATCTTTGCAAAAAGCATGGGTCGCAATTTTTGGTGATATTTGGAGAGCTCATTGAATATTTTGGAATGATATTAGAACCATTAAAAAGAAAATGAAATACTCATCGAATGCTAATAAGATATCACACAAATGTTTGTTTCGCTAGATGTGGCGTGCATTTAGAAGAAGACATTACTTTTAGCTCCTTAGAAACTTTTGAAAACATAAAAAGCACAAATTTTAATTTCGAATCATAACAATATTCCTGTTGCCCCAAAACACATTGTTGCAATTATTTTATAATCTTTGTAGCATTTGTCATGAGGCATATTATAGATAGAATCGGCTCATAAAAGCTGTTGCATTGGTAAAAGTGACGACGTCGTTCAAGCCGGACTGGAGCTTGCTGAGTTCAGGATCAAGTGGATAGAAAAATATTCGAAGATAGTTTCCGACTTAACGCGAGCAGAGCTGGAAAGGCTGAAAAAAAAAGATAATGTGATAAAACACGATTATGTAGAGGTAGAGACAGAGTATGAAGAGTTGACCTTGTATTGACATTGAATTTGACGTTTAAACTACCTAAATTCGTTCTTGCGCAAAGCACACAGCTTATCTCTTGTTTGAAAAAATAAATTTAATGAAGACGAAAGGAGTTTTTCAACACATTTCAGAGAGAAAAATGGCTGAGTAGAAAGTATTGAATATTACTTGTAGGAAATCCTGCGAACCTTCAAAAATTCTTGACAATGGCCAATGGCTAGTGATGAAACGCCGCTTAGAACACTGATGTGCAACATGATATGTTTCTGACTTGTATATTGTGGGAACATTTAAAAATACTTAAAGATCAAACGTTGACCACAATTTTACAAAGCCTCTACAAATCCTTAGAAAACTTTCGTTTGTTCTGCACGTGTGCATCAAGGCATACAACAAAGCATAATTAGAACAGAAAAAATCAGCAAAATGGGAGTGAAAAAGGGTCTTACCTTTCCGCAAAAGTTTGGGCACCGCCATAGCGGTAAACCCTAAGCCAGGGCCCAGCAGAGGTGGCATATGAAAATGTCAAAAACGGGTTCCCTTGACATAGCAGAAAATTATGAGATACCTTTTGTAGTGTTTGTAAAAGTCCTTATGATACTGACGAATAAAGAAGTGGAATGAAGTGAAAAAAGAAATAAATCAAAGATCAAAAAGCAAGATGCAAAAAGAAGCTGTTTTTTTGTCTTCAAGAGCTTTAACAAAGCATAGGGACGAAATTTGATAAGGTGAGTGCTCATAGCTAGAACTTGATCTAAAGAATAGATTTATATGAAAAATTTGAAAATGTGAGGAAAGGGGAGAATTGTGAAGATTTACGACTATTTCTAATCTCGCGCAACCTCGGGGTGCTCTCAGGTTGCGCGGCAGCAACCTTAAATTGAAATTACTTACAACCAGGGTCAAGCAAGGGGTGTGGCACATTATCGCTGGTTACGACCCTCCCCCCCCCCCCCCTGATTGCTGTCTTAGGCCCGTATGCACGTACGTCCCCGCTGGGGAGGGGAGGGGAGCTGGATCCCCAGGGGAACGATCCCCTCCGCCGAACCCCGCCATGACAGAGGGGAGGGGAGCGATCCCTTCCCCTGCACCTGAGCGGGGATGGTGTGAATGATTTCAGAGGTATTGATCGAGCGAACCCCAGTGCATACGGGGTTCGAATGGGGGAGGGGATCCCTTCCCTTCCCCCACTCGAACCCCGTATGCGCGAATTCAACTCAATAACGCGGGGGAGGGGATCGACATCCCCTGCAACGAAGTAGGGGTTCGATGGTGTAGATCATGCCAGAGACGCGGATATTCTGGTTCTGCTCAGTCATTACCAAGCATTTCGTTCATTTTGATGGAGGATTTTCTTTGAAAGCCGGGTTCTTCTCTCAGCGAACTGTGGCTTGCAATTTGTCTTTCTTTTCTATATTCGCCTCTTGAGAAGAAATCCGAGCAACAATAGCTGCCAATTTCGATTATTTGTAGGAGTTCTTGATCATTCAGGAAATTTGCGCATTTTTCATATAACATAATAGTTTTAACTATATAGGCTGATTAAACACGCTGTAACTTTCATATTTCATGACATGTTGCCATTATCTTGTTTTTTTAACATAAGCTGCCTCGAAAAAATCTAGAAAGTAGCATATTTGCCTATTTCTGAGTAGAAATCCCCTGGGGAGTGATCCCCTCCCCAGCGTTCCCCTTGTGCATAGCAGGGATGGCTGCTGGGGATCATTCCCCTGGGATAAACGACGATATGCAGCTGATAGTTACAGCGTTTATGGAGAGCTGACACAATTTGCAGCTTTTGTTATGTGTTAGGATACTGCTTTGAGCGTCCGCGCGGCACCCCCCCCCCCCTTTTCGGCAGCATAACGTCTTCTACCCATTCCCTTGCAGAGACACATCAACTTCTATAGTTCAACATTTTGACGCTGAAATGGAGCAGCATGAACGAAAGTGGGCAGCATCCAAGAAAGCAGGAACATAGTGGGAGTAGAAAAAATCATTTTTAGCACCCGAGCGCAGTCACTGCATACGCACATTCCGCAACCCCTAAATTAATTGAAGTGAGGAGATGAAGATGAGTTGCAGTCAAAATATGAAATAAGAAAGAGTTTTTCATAGAAAATTTGAAAGCAAGGTGATTTCCCCGCTTGATCCCTTCTTGTGCATAAGAGGGTTCACTTCCCCTCCCCACAGGGGATCCCTTGTACGATATTGTCTTTGTGCATACGGGGGTTCGCGCGGGGAGGGGAGGGGATCCCCAGCGGGGATCATTTCAATGGTTAAGCGCACATCCCCTCCCCGCGGGGATGTACGTGCATACGGGCCTTAATAAGACCCCCCCCCCCCTGAATTATATCTATGATAGCATTACCTGAAGGCTCTGTTAAACATAATGGGCAGCATATCCTTAATGAGCATGTCAGTTAACCCCTGTAGACAGAGTTTTGAGCGAATTCTGAAGATTCAAGATACTAGGCTACCTAAGTGAAATGGTCATTTTCCAACATGATTAACTTTGTTTCAAAGGTGAAATAGCTATCCGTTTCTGTACTCAAAACAAAGCATACCCCTTCTTTGTCCATCTCAGAAATCCCGCTTCAAAAGATCTCCAAACTGTGGAATTAAAAGCCAATCAAAATCTCATTTTTCCCATTTTCCGCTTTTGATGGCTGTGCTTTCACCAAATATTACTCAGAGCTAAAAAGACGAATCACGCTTGAAGCACTCCTATGGAATCTACGAGGTTTAGTTTTTGATTCGTACAAATGGTTTGCTAAAAATGTTTTTATGAACGGGGTGTGGCACAACCCCTTAGAAGCTGTGGCAGCCACAGCTTTTAAGGGGGTGTGCCACACCCCATTAACTATGTTATAAAAACACCAGTGCGTCACCTCTGCTTCGCAGAGGTTCGCACTGGCTCTACTATCTATGTGTCTTACTCATTCTCGTAAAATCGTGGCACTGGAACTCACCGCGCTATTCCGACTACCACGAATAAAATGTAAACAACCACTCATTTAAAAAGTTTTTTCACGTGAGATCGGTGATTTCGCGTGGATGAAACTTTTCGCAGGAACACAAATGCAGATTTGAATAGGTTTTTGAATTTGTCATGGCTTGGTAGTCGTCATAGGCCCCGGTCAGACTTCACGCGACTTAATCGTCGCTATCTAATCGCCAAGATTTCCATTCATTTTCATTTCACATTCAAAAATTTCGGGCTGGAAAAGTATCACAATTGAAATACAAGTTGATCGTCATGGAATGATGTTGTAACAGTTGTCTCGTTGCGATTCAGTCGCAACGATCAAATCGCGTGAAGTCTGCCCGGGGCCATAGAAGTAATAGTTGCCGTGAGCTACATCTCTGTGCGAAAATTTTCTCAAACGCTTAGCTAGAACCTTGGCAAATTGACCATTTACACAACCAATTCTTTTTGGCGCCGTTCTTCATTGTGTAGTAGACTTTCGACCATTTTTCGGGCTAAGCTCCATCGCTTGCACATTTGCTTACCGAACTCATCCACGACTCTGTAAAAAGTGGTGAAACGGACCGAATTTTGCGGTACAGAAGCCAGGTGGACCCATTTGGCGCGCAATTTCTGAGGGATCCACTCAACGAATTTACTCGTGCTTTTGCATGTTGGACTTTCATAAAGGTAGCATGCGCTGTACAAAATTTGGGCTTAGAACGCTGGCGGGAACATGCTCCACGATTTTCGTAATAGACACACACACACACACACACACACACACACACACACACACACACACACACACACACACACACACACACACACACACACACACATCACTTATAATGAGAGAAAGAGCGATAGAAATTCACACAGCTTTTCCTACAGTACTTTCCTTACCATATGCAAAAAATGATCCAAAAATGTCTTATTGTCAGTGATAAATGATAAAATGCTTATATCAGCGATAAGGGTAGATAAAGACTGCCCAATTTTTCGCGATAGTTTTCGATAACGAGAGCTTCGTACCAGAACCTCCTATACGCGATTTACACTGTGATAAATATTCACAAAAGCCTTAACGTAGAAAACAACAAGGTATCATTGTATGTCTACCCCGTCACTATGAACTACGGACATACCGTATATCAAAAGATTCGTCTCATCAAGCTGAAGCCAAATCTTCACTCAGATTACAAACAAAACTATTTTAAAAGAAGTTATAGCTAAATCCCGCTTATCCCGCAAATCCCGTGAATCCCGACAATCCCGCAGTTTTGGACAAATTCCACCGCTGCAACTGTAGTATCTTGAATCTTCAGAATTCGCTCAAACTTTGTCTACAGCGGTTAATTGACATGCTAGTTATGGATATGATACGAATATCAGTTTATCACTATTATCAAGCTACCCAACTACGACCTCTCCCCTTTTGACTCCTCAATACGACCGCCCAGGTGTGGCGTGCCACACCCCACGCTTGACCCTGCTTACAACTCCTTTCGTTCACATAATTTTTTCATAAATGTGCATAATCTCCTTTTTATCGCCGCTTATGTGCTCATAAAATTTGGTGGCTCAATATTGCTTACCTTATTGTAGTAAGCAAACCGATTATTTATATTTTTGTGCGTGAAGATCGTGTTTTGACACGTTGAAAACGTGTGTACACAGCTTTTGCATTAGCGTGCTTGTAATGTTATAGATCTGCATGTATCTGGTAAAATTACATCAGTCCAACGGGCTTGCTAGAGTTGGAGTTGTGATTTCTAAATTTCAGGTTTCCAGGTGGAATCTTCACGGGTTCCCCTTTGTCCCCTCAAAGAACGAAATCCACCGTGCGAAAGCGCCACCTTTGCTGAGCCCTGCCCTAAGCGCATTTGATCGTGAGAGTGTGATCCAGATTATTGATGGCGTGCGTCTTTCTATGTATTTCGTATCTCTGTATATGTTCTGTGTTTTCTTCTTAACTCTACTGCCGGACAAAGACATGAAAGCAAAGGCTAAGCTGTCGCAATGCAACGTGCATACATTATTGTAAACCCTGGGTCTCGCTCGCCCATGGGTTATAGCGCGCTTGCGTCTGGGTCTGCGCTACCCGCCAATAGATTTTATGTGTTACTAGC